CCTTTGAGCGTGGCAATACCATAACCAGCCGCAGGCCGCGCCAGGCCGCGCGACTTTCAGTCGATTCAGGGCCGGTTTCACTCAATGTTAAAAGGCGGGGGACTTAATTTTGTTCGTTTCAGCACGGCTGGGTGCAGATAGCGGAGCTGGGTGATTTTGAGCGCGCATTTTCAAAGTAGGTGTGGCGAAGTTTATTGTGCGGGCCGTGTAAGGAAGATATCGTCAGAGTTATTATCTGCATTTCTTATGATTCAGATTAACTTGATTTAAATAATATTTTTAAATACTGTATTAGATGTTTTTACTTAAAAACTAAAATTGTAAAGGTTTTTATTACGCTTAATTAAATTTAAAAGCAGAAAAGAAGTGGAAAAATGAGTTTTATAAATTGATGCATCATTCCTATTTTGTTTTTAGTTTGTTTTTTTTCACATAGATACTAATACATTTGAGGGCGTCTGGTGCAGTACGCCTAACCCACAAAAATTTTAGCGGAAAGTATTATAAAAATCGAAGAGGTAAACATTTTTTTATATTGATATGTTCCCACATGACCTTTGGAACTGTAGTGTGTGGCAAATATAATGGCTTTTAATTCTAAACAAAGCGGTGTTGTATTTTTTATGGACCACGGTTCAAACGTTTAGGAAATTGGAAACTAGTTTATTATTCAAGTATGTACAGTTGTAATGAATCACATAGTCAGTGTAGGCTAGTATTTTTTTGCGATTATCAACTGATTTTCTTTGTGTAGTGCATGAGAATAATGGTAATTATTCTGTAATTTTGATCCAAAAAACATTTTTATTTCTGAAATTAGAAACCAGAGCAAAATAAATTTACCGTGAGGGTGTTGGGTGAAAGGGACTCAATTTTTTTTTTTTTAATATTATTCTTTTTAAGTAATAAAAAAGCCAATTGGCAGCAAAATAATACATCAGCATAATAAAATCTATGTAATATGAAAAATGTTAAAAGTACAGTTATGAAGTTGTTCATGTCAATAGCACAGGGAAGGTTTGTAAACATCTGTTACTGTTTCTCAATTACTGGACATTCTTATGTACCTGGTAATGAAATTGGTGTGTGAAGAATAAAACTGAAGAACTTTTATATTTATACAAGGGTAAATAAATAACCTTTAATTGTGAAAAAGAACTAGGATACAGGAATGTTTCAAAAGTCATTAAAAGATCTTGCACTGATGTGAGGTTTCTTAATTATGATCTTGATGAACTTTTGATTGACAGTTTTCTTCTGTTATCTCCAGATCAAAGAAGAGCCAGTGGACAAGAAAGAAGACTGTTGCTGGAATTCCATTGTGAGTTAGTTTTATAGCGTTGTTATTATCTCAATGTACTAAACATTAGTGGGTGTTGAGATAATCCCAAAAAATTAAAGTGCTTCATGCTATTTCAGTTTGAGTGTATTAGTCCATGTAGCAAAAACTGGAGAGAAAATAATGATTATTGGTGTAAGTGATCTTTATATATTTGCATTTGAAGTAGAAAATATTAATATTTGTTATGAAAATGTTTTTGTGTCCTTGAATTGCAATTCTTAACACAGTATGCTTAAAACATCACATTTTTTACTCTAGGAGTGGAAGCTTTTATATTCTCTTGTCTTTTCATATTTTGGGATTAGTAAAAGACAATTATCTTTAATCTTTTTTTTTTCCATGTTGTTAGAATCAAATAGTTGTTTTTCAGAAGTGTTGCATGGTGTGGGTGGAGGGGGGTGGTGACTGGTGAAGGGGGGGAGGGAGTGTGAGATCGTCTGCCTCAGTGCGGATATCCGTTGTTGAAGTATTAATTTCTCCTCACCTGCAGTACAGTTAATGAGTATTAGGAGCCATTTTTTGTTATGGAGTGTACTGAAAGGAAAGCCATATACAGAAATTGAATAATAAAATATTCTGAATAGCATTATTTGGATTCATTCAAAATGTATTGCTTGAGCAAAAGTTCACTAATCAGTTTATTTAACCTCCCTGTCTGACAGAATTGCCAATTCGCACTCTTAGTTTATATATTTTTTAAGTTCAAATCATTTTTTTTTCATTTATAAAGAAGTTTTTAATGTGAAATTATTTAAATCGATAACTTACAGATATCAACTAGTTATGTTAGTAGTTGCTGCATAAAATTAGTATTCTTTCAGAACTGATTTTGGAAACATTTTAACATGTTAATATTTGAAGTCTTTATTTAATACTGTTCAGTACATTACTATGTTATCAGGCTACAGCTCTTTTCAACATAAAAAAATGTAATAGATCTTGTCATGAATGCAAATATTGGAACAGTAATATATACATAATGCTTAAGTGGCCTCTGAGTCCCTTTAATGTCCAGGATTATTTGTTCCTTAGTTTTGCTTGGGTTAATGAATGTTACTCTCACACCAATTACATCTTGTGTCCCATTTTATCAATATGATAACCAGTATATTGCAAACTTAGATATCTGTTTCTCTCTTTGACAATGAGTTAAAATAACTTAAATCTGCATTGTTTCTTTAGTAGCTTGGTTAAATTGTGGGATGGAGGGATCAAAGATCGTGTTGTGAAGAAGGTCAAATTTAAAACTACTGGGAACATATAGAATAGGAAAACTTTTACTCAATTTTCTTTAAAATAATGTCATTATTTAAAAATCTACAATTGAATGATATCATGCAATAAACATGGAAGCTAAGAATCAGTGTGGTTGAAAAAGTCTTGGAATGTTTGGACATGTTTCTTGTTGAAACCTATCTTGGAAAGCAACAAAAACTCGTGCTGAAAAGAAGAAATGTGTGTGAGATATGCAGGCAGCTAATTTAGATTGTTTTTTCATAATTTAATCAATATCTAACATTGGCTAATTTAAGCACTTTATAAACATAAAAATATTTCCTAATTTGTGGTTTGGCTTTTGTGTCTCCCATGTTCAGCACAATGCAAACTTAACTTGCATGCATTGTAGAAGGAGTGGGAGGGGGGGGGGAAAAATTGGAAGTGTAGGGAAGAATGAATTTGAACTAGCTGAACCTTTTGAGATATCATGGCACCTAGGAACAATTGCGGAAACATCAAAACTGAAAAGAACATCATATGAATTTTAGAGAAAATAGGTACCACATCCAGAATATTGTTTCTTGAGATTCAGTACTTATTCTTGAAGACTAAAGAAACGAGGGAGGTGTACAAATTTTGGAACAATACTATCACTGTCAACACAGAGTTAACATGTTTTTGAAAATTTAATTGAAATGCTTGATGTATACCAAGATGTTCAGACGTATGTTCTAGTGGACTCTAGCAGTAAAGCATATTATCCACCTTGAATTGCATATTATTGTAATCTTGCTTACACTAAACAATGAAACTTTAAATAATTTCGATAGACCTTTTGCTTCACACACAACCAAGCAACGGCAAGAAGAAGAAACAATATCAGATAAGTTTTCATTCTATTAATTTTGAGATACTATTAAAAATAAGTTTTTATATTTTAAAATCAGATAATAATAGCATATGATCAAAAATCTTTCTGCACTACTTTTCACTAAAGTAAAAATCACAAAATTGGGTTGAGTAGAATTATTAAATTTCTTTTTTAAAGAAAACCTTAGTGTTTTAAATATTAAGATTTGTGCAATTTCTAAAATATTTTACTGAAAATTATAAATATACTGTAATTGTATATACACGTTCTTCTAATTAGGCAAAATAAAAAAAATAAAACAATTTCAAAAATAATGTTCTGCTATTTTCCAGAAAATATTTAAAATGTCACGGGTTTGATACTCAAATTAAAATATCTTGATCCTCTCTGGAACAGCACAACTAAATGTTACATGAAATGTATTTCCCAAGTTTCATCTAAAAAGCTTCTAATCAGACAGTGGATATGCATGTCACATCCATTCATATAGAGATCCTAATTTTCGGGTTCTTAAATTCATAAATCTCCCACATGCACCAGCCTTAACCATTTTTGGCACAGCATGAATTTACCTTAATCCTGATGTCTATTTGAAGTTACTGTTGGAAAGATTTTACTTAAGAGAAACTTTAAACAGATTTTACAGCCCAAAAATTCGAGATCATATTGTGGAGATGATAACAATACTTTCCTCTCTATACTGAAATATAGAGGGAGGAAAAGTAAAAATGTTGGTTGAAGAGTAGATAAGCTTTTGATTTAAATAGGTGTTGTTTTTTCTTAAATGAAACTTGCAATTTATACTACGCTTAGAATGCACTGATTGTCTACGTTACTAAGTTTTTAATTATCATTCCAGGATTATTTGCTTATTAACAACCTGGCTAGCAGAAACTACTAAACAGATAATACTTTTGTGTCTGGAATAAATACTTGACAAAAATCCTTTATCCACATCGTCTACAGATGAAATTTGAAAAAAATTGTTTAATAGTTTCACTAATACTAGTTAGTTTAATCTTGTTTGAGCGGGTTTATTTTTTGTTCTTATTGAAAGGGGACATTTTTGTTGAATTTTCCACAACTCTCGTTGAGCATGTTTTAATATATATCTCTTGGGCAGTCATGATTTAATAAGCGAATATTTTTGGTATTTAGGTCAAAAGAGAACAACAGTTTCTTTTACTAGCATTCCAATAAAAGAAGACTGCAATAAAATATGAATTGAGTATCATTTGTCTTACCTTAAAGTAAAGTAAAATTAAGTTTTAATCACATGATGCAGACACTGGGAGTCCTGGTAATGAGAAGGGAACAGTTCATCATACTCTATGAGCAAACCAATATTCCTTTTTCTTTGAATGGGAATGCATAGTAATTTTCATGAGTTAATTAAATGCATGATTTCCAAACAATTATTCTTTGTAACTTGAAATATTTTGGTGGCTCACAAATGACTGAATGAAATTTTATTTTGTTTCTCCACTACACAGTGGTCGTTTTAATTACATTAATATTCGAACAGTACTAGAAAGCGCAAATAGTCCTGAAAACAACTTAAGAATGGAAACACTGGTGGCATAATTACCTGATCACCTGGAAATATTTCCAAATAGCTTTGCATAAGAAAGTAACCTCCTCCTCTCTGAAAAGTATGCGATACAAGGAAAAAAATTCCCTCTAAATGTGAAAGATGGGCTTAATCATTAAAAAAGAGAGATAAAACTAAATGCAAAAATTGGAGTGGTATCTCATTGTTATTGGTACACAGTAAAGTGTATTCCATAGTAAATCTAAACAGAATAAATGGAGAAGTTGGAAAAGCTCTCAGAAAGGAACAAGTGGAGCCCTAGAGGTTTATAAGATCGTATAAGCAAGTATGTCTCATATTAGAACAACCAACCCCCAAAATGAAACATGACTTCATACTTCACCTTCATTGTCTTTCAACAGAAGTTTGATTCACTGTCCCATGAAAGCAGGTGCAAGTAACTCGGGCTAATAAATGGGAATTTCCAGAGAAGAATATTTATCATGTATTATTAAAAATGTGTTATAAACCTACTTCTTTGGCAGATTATACATACAGGAAAATATCCATTCCAGGGATGGATCGTATTTGGATGACCATTGTCTGAGACAAGTTATGGAAGGTTCAAAAGTATGCATGACCACCTAACTCCCAGAGGTTTATACAGCAACCGCTTTTTCTTATTATCATATTTTCATAGCACTTGGAAGTGTAAGAACTAAAAATCTGTAATCTCTATGAAAAATAAGCTGCTTTTTGTCTCTTGTAGAAAACGTTTCATAGAGATGGTTTTCTCCAGTTGGTTACAAGATGAACTTAGGATTGATTGTAAATTCTTCAAAGAAAGAACTATTCCTGAAACTTCCATTTGCGAGTTGGTTTTATAGTAGATTTATGGATCCAATCTAATTGAAAAGTAATGTCCTCTTGAAATATGTCTCCAAAACAATTTAAGCACGTAAACAATATAAAATTTCAAACCTGCAATTGATTTCTGTCACGGATTCCAGTTGAAAACAAGAATCATTAAGGGTGGATGTCGTTTTATATTTTGTTTGGATGTGAGGGTAGGAAAGTTGTAGAATACATGTATGAGTTCATTCCTGTTCTTGAATTGAATTATTAAGACATTATGGCTTAATGAGAATTCAATGTTGTGTGTTATCTGAGAAGCACCCCCACATTTAGATTTAGAAGTGGGAGTAATTTTTTTTCAGTTTTCTGTCTTTTCCTGTGTCTAAGCACCGTAAAAGTTACATTTGTTTTTAATGAGTTTGAAATCTTTGTTATTTTCTGGGTTGATATGTATATATTTCTTAGTATTGGGTTTGCTTTATATAGGCATTTAAATTTTTTAGAAATGAGCTGGAATAAATTGATTTTATTCAGGAAGTGCGATTTTTTTTAAAATTTGATGCAAAGAATTTATATTATAAGTGTGTATTTTAGAATTTGAGGTATTATATTCTGTAGTGATTTTCCTAATAAAATACAGTTTAATAGCATTACTATGAATTATAGATCAAAAGCCTTGATGTGTCAAGTGCAGTAAAAAGTTTTGTTGTAATCAATGATTGAGGAATATTGATTTTATTTTTTATTTTCATGTACAGAAGTCTACTATTTCTTTCTCTTTTAATGAATGCTCATGTGTGTAAATGGTAATATGAATTTTTTTTTTTATATCCTCAAAGACATTGATAAAATCAAAGTTTAAGCAGTAAGTTCCAGAGCCCGTGTGATGCCTAGGTATGTTTCTACCTTAGTATTGCTAAGGTTAATAACCAATGTTACTTGCACACAGATTATATCTGATGCCCCATTTAATTAATGTGATAATCAACCTTATGCTGTCTTAAGATATCTCGCTTTGTCTTGTTACAGTGAGATAAAATAACTCAAATCTGCTTTTTTTCATTAAAAAGTTACAAATCTCTACTCTGGATTTAAATCATTGGGATGTATTAAAGGCCCAAAAAATGAAGTAGTGAAGAAGAAGCTTTTGATCTAAATTATGTTTTTAACTTTAAATAATTTTTTTGATTTAAAGCATCTGCTTACAGAGCAGATGTGCATTACATTTTAAAGAACATTATACTGTTTTTTTTTAAATTACCATTGGTGGATATCATGGAAACATAGCACTAGTGCTTTTCTTGTATCTAAATATTTTTGGGAAAAATGACCCATGTCTGCCACTTTTTTTATAGTATAAGTGCAAAAAATGAAGCCATGAGTTGTTCTTCTTATTCCCCATATTCCCGTATGTACCCACTTCCCCGTTTGTACCCCCAACAGCTCCCTTGCATCTTGGGTGAGAGGCCATCTAGCCATCTCTTCACAGGTCTTCCAACCGGTCTGCCCTCGAACACCCTCTCTTCCATTGCTTTTTTTGGTATTCTCATGGATGGTATAGGTTTTCACATGTCCTTCCCATTCTAGATGACATAGCTTTATGTGTATAATAATATTAGAGGATTTATATAGAGAATATAGCTCCTTCCTATAATACGCCTCCACCATTGTTAATTCGCCTGCACTGCCCCAAAAATACCTCTCAGAATCTTTCGTTCAAACAAGCCACAAGTTCACCTATTAAATATCAATTACTTCTGCAGAGCTGTTTCATTTTTCGTGTGTTATTAGAAGAAAGCCTTAGACACTTTTTCACCACAACTCAAGTTTTGTTGTTTTTAGATGCTTCTCTATGGGCTGCCATGGTTTTAATGAGCAATGTTTTTCTTCTTCATTTAGGTCAAAGAGGAACCCAGTGCTTTGCAGCATTCAATAATAGATGATGATACAGATGAAGTAAGTACAGACATTGATCTGTCCAAACACAGAAAAATAATTTTTAACACATTGGGTCATGCAGATCCTTTTGAAATTGAAAGGAGGGCAAATTATAATACATCTCTGCGGGAACAATGCACTTTAAATTTAAGAAAACAGACGTGTTATTAAAATTCAACCTGGGTCATCAAAATGATTTTCTTTCTTAGGTCATCCTCAATCGCACAATGTGAATTACGTAATGAATGTGACACAGTGTGGCTCTGTAAAAGTTTAAAACTATTACTCACTTATTTAGAAGACCTGCAACAGATTGATCTATCATGTAAAAGTAGTGTGAAAGGCTGGTTGTGTTACCAGTCATTGAAAAAGGAATTGCGAGAATTATATATCTAAATGTAAAAAAAATAAAATGCCAGTGTTGTGGAATAAACTGAAGAAATGTTATATTTTTTCTGACAGTGGAAGTAACAGAAAGTTGTATGTTTGTATTAGAATGGAATGAACAATTCGTAGCCTATATCAATTAAACAAGAAAGTACGATGTGCTAGTACACTACCATCAGTTTGGTTGCTGAGTGACATATATTTTTTTCTGAGCAGGAGTTGGAGCCTCCAGAAGCTGTGTTTGTTTACCCAGTGGAAAAGCAAGAAGAAACCTTTATTGAAGGAACAAAGGTATGATTGTCATATACATTTACAAGATGATAATTGAATACAAGGAAGCATTGGGCAGTGACAAAATCTTGGTACATGTCTTTATTTTAAACAAAAAGTTCTTCTTAGTTATGTTGTAAAAGATTCTATGAAACTATGAAAGATGCTGTATCCACAGCAATGTAATGCAAATATTTGTAACTACTAAGGAGAACCCAGTTAAGTCTCACATTAGCTGGACAGTGTGGATAAAGATTTATGAATGACCATGTGTGGATCATTTTCGACTTCTGATGAACAGATAATAGCCACAGGGTTAAAGGGCTAAAGTGAATAGCACAAGTGTCAAGCATGTTGTGTGTTTACAGGGAATATTTGGCATACTGGTGTTTGTAATTAAGCATTCCACAGACAGATTCAATCCTCAAAGAATTGAAAGACACCAAAATAATTTCAGAAATAATAGCAATGATTTGGCCCTTAATCCCCAGTACTTGTCCAATAGTTAGAAAACTGGAGTTTGTCCCTATTTGTTACCAAGAAAGAGAATATCTTTTTAGCTCATGTCACAATAGTCTCTAACCCGTTCTATGGAAACTAACTAATACTAAACCAGTCGTCAAGTATTTTGTAACTTTTGCAGGGTTTAAAAGTCTACAAAAATCCAACTTGCACAATTTTTGTACACATTCTTTTGACAATATGAAGGAATAATTGGATCCTTTTTATGTTGTTTTAATTAAAATATTAAACCAAAACCGTGTTTTTCAAATATCTGTTATTTCATGTAAAACCGCTCGTATTTTGAAAAAAAAATGTATATGATCTAATTTTGAAGAATACACTTTATTAAGAAACTAGTGGAAGCACAAACTTCCTTGCACTAGTTAATTTTTCAATAACTTAAGTCTAGGTTAGCTTTTTTGGTATTGTCCCACCATCTTCCTAGTTTCTCGCAATCTGCACTTTAAAGTCATTTTTTATCATTTTCTTAATTTTTACGCCTTATAATACTAGAATTGAGTTACAAGTTAAAACATATTACAGAAGAAGCAAACGTGGTTCTCTATGGAAATTTTAATTGAAAAGTTTGGACCTGCCCTATAGAAAATGTCTGTTGGATCCCAGTCCCCCAAGTAGTTGCAAAATAAAAATCAATTTATGGCAATGCAAAACTGCTTGTGAAGACAAGCCTTACTGAATGAGTTTTTCTCAGCTCCCAGAAAGTTGTTTTCCTTTTTTACATAGTTTTTTTATAGGGAGCATATTTTTATGATTTTGTATATTTTTGTGTTGCTTCAGGGCTTAGCTAGGTGAAATTTCTTGACATTTGATGTTCTGTAGGTTAATATGTTATTGCGTATTTGGTTGATTTTTCCTGTTGGTACATATTTGGGTAATTCTTGAAGCATATTTTGCATATTTCATTATTGTTAGAGACTTATCTGTAAAACTTTAATGTTTTCATAGAATCTTTTTATTTGTGACCGTTTATTGATTAGAATAAGCTTGTCACAGTTAGAGGGTGGTTTTCTTTTCTATAGATGATATGAATAAATTTGTGCAAATGTAGAATATTTCTTGATATATATTTTAAATCAAACACAAAAAATTGAAACTAGACGTTCAATGTTCTACTCTAATGTGCACATTTACTGCAGTTATTTCTCCTGTAAAGAACACTCTATTGGATTATGTTTATAAAAAAGTATATCTTTTCATTCTGAGTATGCTTCTTCTGAATGTTATGAAGAAAGGTTTGTATAGGAAATGAAATATTGTTAATTTTACTTGCATATTAAAGTGCATATATTAGAATTTTTAGGTCATAAATGCATATTTTTAAAATCATATTTCAAGATGTTTTAGAGCATGAAATTCCCCTTCCTAGTTATTTAATAGAATATTTCGCATAATTGTCACGATAGATGAGAACAAATCACTGCTGGGATTGCGACAAACACATAGAACTAAATATAGATTTGCGACAAACACATAGGACATTTTAAACATATAGATTTTTAAACGCTCATCCTGTACAATATTTTTATTATTGATATAGTTTCCAAATCCAATTTGAAGACAATCACTTCTTTAGAGAGAGTAATATAAATTGTTTCCAAACAAAATGTAGTCATTTATTACAGACAATCATAATTTAAGTGACAAAAAATATTGGTATCTAGTAATCTTCTAAGCGTTTAAAATTGCCCCTCTCCAACTGCCAGAAAATACTTCATACTTCTCCAATATAAGCATCAAGCAAAGCATTATTGTCCAAGATATCAATCCTATTTGTATAACTTTATTTGTGGGCACTAAATATTCATTATTTGTTGGTTCTGCAATCAGAAATGTGTTACAAATGCAGCACAAAGACTGGGATACTTTGAATGCAACATACCCAAAAACGTACAACAAATGAAATTTTCATATTATTCTTTTCATTTCTTAATGCAGCAATTTTGGACAGCACTAAAACTATATCTTCTACATCAATTACCAGCGATGCAGTGACATCTAAATCACATTCAAATGTTTCTGTTGTTGGTGCTTCAGGAGAAACAGGAACACTGCCATATCTTGCAGACCGCGTTCTAAGTACACTTTTTATTCTTATGAATGGTAGGTAACACTATATATTTGTCCTTGCTATTGATCCAATTGTTCCTTAAGTTTTTCTATAAGTGAGCAGTCATAACAGTTTAAATTTGCTGTGCTGCAGAATGTTCATAAACATAATTATTATCGGAATTTGCAGTTTGCAAAGAGAAAAATGTTGGCTATTAACATAATTGTTATCATAAATAAGAGCAACAACAGTGAACCCAGTTGCAACTTATAAATCCAAGCCATGATTTTAATTGTTTACCTGTTAGATTTTTATCCGAATTAAGAGATAAAACTTATCTCGTTTTAACATAGGCTGATGAAACTAAAAAAGCAAGTACAGTTTGCGCTTAAATGGGCCCAGCATTATCAGATGACCCTGTTATCTTGCCACTTTTATAATATAATTTAGGATTAATATAAATCTTATCTAACTGTACCGAAACAAATTTTTAAATAGTATTATTGTTTTTAGCAATATTATGCAAAAATTGATTGTTGGATGAATTCTTCTGTGCGCTGATGTTTAGTGAAGATGAAATTACTTGTTGGCATTTAGTATGAGGTAACAGAAGTAATCTATTTCCATGCAATGCTGAATAGCAAACACATGACTGCAGATAAGTTTAATAAGAACAGAATACCATGTGCATAGATAATTTTAATTTTGGCATAGCACTGAGCTTGAACTGTTACAAAAGAAACATTGAAGGCTGATCATCTTCCTCCCCATTTCACAAGTCCAAGATTTCTACTAAACCTGCAATTCTATTAAGATGATCATTTCGGCTTACTACCATTTAAGATTCTGATGCAGGTGTATTTTAACATATGAAGATATTAGTTACCAACTGAGAGCAACACCTTAACTTAGTCAGAATTTAATATCCACTTTAAATTACAGAATATATTTATACAACTATTGACACAAACATATAAAACTAAATTTCTGTCTACAGTAACACTTCCTAGTATCATTGGGTATTTTAACAAAACTTATCTTATAAAAGCAAACCATGTCGTCACAAACGGTTACCGGATACACATGTGCCTTCATAAAATCCTTATCTCTCTAATGTATTAACTAGCACCGAAGGTCTGGAATTATGTCATCCTTCAACCATTTCTGAGACTTTCCCTCAATGAGTTCTAAGTATTGTTTCCTTCTTATATCAGGATCTTGCCTTTTTATTGTGACTGGCTTACTCCGGTAATTCAGGAGAGTTGGGAATAATCATGGCACTGAATTTTTTTTGTTTTAGAACAGGTGTACTTCCTTCCCACTATCGTTTAACTCTATTCAAATCCAAGTAGAGGTACACCTGTCTTCAAAATGATGTATACAAAAAACTGAAGAAAATGTGAGGATCCAATTGGCATGTGGAATTGCTTGCATCCATGCTTTCCGTCTCTCTTCGTTCATCAGGATTGAGAATACTGAAACAATCTGGTGAACTTTTATACCCAGGTTCAGGACGTTTCTTTTCCATTTGAAAATCATAGTTGCAATTGAAGAGACTAATTTTATCTGGTTCACTAATCTTATTACTGAAACATTTGAATGGAAAGAGGTTAGAACTTACCATATACAGAAATTTTATATTAAGATGTTTGCTTGTGTATTTATGACAAAAATGCATCCAAAAAAATATTTATACTGGCAACATTAATCACAAAAAGTACTATTTATTTTCATATCTGAGAAAATCTAGCTGCCCACTGCTCTCACAATATTTTAGAGATCAATGATTACATCAACTCAAAATCGCTGTTTGCGAACGTATTTGAATCCTTATGTACATCCACGCAGTCGGCCTCCAATGCACTATTCCCATCTTTCAACCTTCTGGCCTGTAATAGAGGTGGACCTGCTTCAATCATTGTTCAATTTTTTTAAACACATTTAATTACGAGTTCCATAAGAAATGTCATCCTATGATATCTATGTGTACATACTTTCAAAGCAAAACCTTCACCATGCCTTTTGAGAACCAAATAATGTGTAATGAATATATTAATTATAATGTGAATAATGAATATATTATCTGCAATGTGTAAATAAATCAAAAATGAAAGAAAATATGTCATTGTTATTACTCCATGTTATGAAAGAATGTATTGTTCCTGTTGTATTTGAAAGCTATTGAAGATATAAAGGCAGGCATCATTGACCACGTTTGGTTAAGTGTGGATGAAAAAACCAGATATCTGTGGTAGATACATTGCTGTCGTAGATGTGGGCAAACTGATCATTGAGAAACCCTGTGTACCCTATGTCATCCTATGCAAAGATCTTCAACAAATACCACTCCACAATATCAATTGCAGGGATGAATGCTTTAAAGGTCCTGTGGCCAGATGAAGAAGGAGAGGGTAATTGCAATTGTTTGTGACAGACAGTGTCTTAAGTCTTTCCACCCTTGAATGCTCCATGTCACCTTTCTCGCGCATGGACTCTATCGGGTGATTGAACAGATACAGGAGGAGCATCCTACAGTCAACAAAATCACTTCAGTGAAGAGAGTCTTCTTGAAAGCACATATATACTGTTTATATTCAGAGGGAAATGTCCTTCTACCACTGCCTACTGCTGCCTCCACATCTTGTGGTGACAGTGTATCCGCAGCCTTGGATTATGAACTACACAAGCATCGTAGAGGAAATTGATTCATTAAATGAATATGGTTCAGCTGCTATTGTATGTACAAACAAAAGTGCAATTAATTATAAATTTTAATTCCATAAATAAAAAATAAAACAATAAATAAAAAATTTAATTAAAAATGTGCAATTAATGAATTAGAAGAATCAACTCCCCCCATAACTGAATTGCTAATGCAATAGAGGAGTTAAGACATACAATAGTACCTGGCCCAAGAAGAGAATCTATATGACAAAT